TTATCAGTTTTCACCGTAGAGAGGATGCAGCTCGTGCCATTGCTGGTGTATCTGGGTTCGGTTACGACCATCTGATTCTCAATGTAGAATGGGCCAAGTATGTTAATGTTCATTATATTCATATAAACATTATATTTCTATATGTAAAGGAATGCAGTGTACAAGTTTTGTTACATTTTGGCTATCGTGCAAAAATGAAACAGGATAATGTTTTTATCCCTCCAAACCTGCAGGGGTTACCCTTCACTGTAACACATGCTTATTACTTGGGTTTCTGGACGTTGTGTTTGTGCTTGCAATTCACCAGCAGCCCCTTATAACTCTTTCCGTGCCTGTAAAACACAGTTTACTGCCAGTTTTTGGTGTTTTTTTTTTGTTTTTTTTTTTATAACCACACATTTTAGATCCTGCAGAACCTGTGAATTTGTAGCAAAGGTGTAAGGACCACAATTGTGTGTGCCCTTTTTAGTGGCTGGCTGCAATGTTACTAACAGTCGCACTGCAGATGCTTCGGTGTGTATTGGGTATCCAGTTTAATGACTCTTGTATCCAAATCGTTGCTACTACTAAATGTTCTTTGTGGGCATGCTCCAGTTGCCTACACAAACTAAAATTGTAAGCCCTGCCTACATATTGCCCTTAAAGCCTTGTGCTATTATCCATGCCGTGTGTGTGTGTGTGTGTGTGTGTATATATATATATATATATATATATATATATATATATATATATATATATATATATATATATATATATATATATATTTATTTATTTATTATAAATTTCTATATGTATACACCCAGAAGATTAAGTATATACGTCCCAGCGCTCAAAGTTTCCGGTCTTTTAATGCTCCGGTGCTGTCTCCAAAGAAATATATATATTAGTGTGTGTGTGTTGCTCTTAACTTTCAACTTGCAATGTTTTTTGGGAGGGGGTTGGGGGGGTCCTGTTTGCTCCATATCTGCCTTTTCTCAGATCACACAGTCTTGTTAATGGGGTTTTATAATAAAATCAAGGGACCTATATTTTCAGTAAATTCTTTAGTATACTGAAAGGGCTGTTTACTAAACTGCTGGTGGTTAAATCCAAATGGTAGAAATATGATGTGTCCGTAGCAGAGTTTTCCTGATCAGCTCTTTGCCATTCAGTTATTTATTTGCTACAATTCAGTTTAGTGTATAACCCTGTAGGTGAATGCATGATACACGGAATGTGAATGTATTTTTTAAAGTGTTTTGTATTTTAAATTTATTGGATTTCTCAAGTAAAATAAGGAACGGTGTGTATTTAACAAAACGTAGCTTGGAACTACATTCTATTTCTCTTAACCTATTCTTTCTTTCCACAGACCATCAACCAATTGAGTTGGGAGCTGCTGTTTACTAGTAGAAGATCCATTTGTCACCTGCTGGGAATCTCCCTTAATAAAATAATTTGAAGACCAAATTCTGTTTTGTTTTGTTTTTGTTTTGTTTTTTATTTCTATTTATTTTTTGAATAACAACTAAAGCAGTTTTGTGTGTATATCAAGTTTAGTAGTTGTGCACCCAAATGATTGGGGTAAAGAGTTATCGATTTAAAAGCTGACAAAGTTTATCTGTCAACTTGGGAACCAATAGAAAGTGTTTCCACCAAACCTTAATTTTACTGTTCTGCTTTGGGAATGATCTGGTTAAGATTTTAGTTTTTTTCCTTTTCTATCACTGCTACAGTAATGTCGCACCGATGTAAGACCTGTACTACAGCAGGTTCTCGTTTCCAAAGGATCAAAAGATGGCTTACTACACTGGCAGGGACAGGCACCTTTCAGGATTCCAGATGTTGTAGACTACATCTCCCATAATGCTCTTGCAGCCATAACGCTAGCAAAGCATCGGGGGATAAGGTAGTCCACAACATCTGGAGTGCCAGAGGTTGACTGCTGCTGCACCTTTTGATTTCTTTCTCCAACTGTTGATATGGAAATTTCAGAAAGAGACACCGCTAATGAGATCTGATTTAGTTTGGGGCGTAAATTCATCAAAACTAATGTTTCGTAGATTGATTGCTTTGAATTCCAACACAGTAAGGACCGGACACGGAATTGAATAATATCCAAGGCAGGTTTATTGAAGCACATTCCAGTATTTAATTTCTAA